TTTTATTTATCTAAGGAATTATTTGTACAAATTTCACAAATATTGCACTAGATTTGTGAAAATATTAACGTTTAACTATTTTAATCCATGGAATTTGGCAGTCTTTTCAATGTCATTTTCAGTTTTCTCAAATTTATATGCTCTGAAAAATCTTTTTCATTGGACATTGTCAACTGTTGTGCTTTTTACAGATTTTTATTGATGTTAAGCATGATAATATAGATATATACAAATTTCACAAATATTGGACAAGATTTGTGACAATCATTAACATATAACTATTTTAAGCCATGGAATTTGGCAGTCTTTTCAATCTAATTTTCAGTTTTCTCCAATTCGTATGCTCTGAAAAATCTTTTTCATGAGACACGGTCAACTGATGAGCTTATCACAGATTTTAATTGTTGTTATGCATGACTTGTACAAATTTCACAAACATTGGACGAGATTTGTTAAAATTATTAATGTTTAACTATTTTAAGCCATGGAATTTGGAAGTCTTTACAATGTCATTTTCAGTTTTTTCACATTCATATGCTCTGAAAATTATTTTTCATGAGACACATTCAACTGATGAGCTTATCACAGATTTTTATTATTGTTATGCATCATCTGATCAAATGTCACAAATATTGAACGACATTTGTGAAACTTATTAACATTTAACTATTTTAATGCACCGTATTTTGCAGTCTTTTCAATGTCATTTTCAGTTTTCACATACACAGATTTTTATTGTTGTTATGCATCATCTATCCAAATTTCACAAATATTAGACAAGATTTGTGAAAATTATTAACGTTTAACTATTTTAAACCATAGAATTTGGCAGTTGTTTCAGTGTTATTGTCAGTTTTCTCAAATTTATTGTCCAAAAAAAATCTTTTTCANGTTAAAATATACTGTACTGACAAATGAAGTGTCAACTGTAGCTTTAAGGGGCACCAAGCTATAGAAAAAGAGCTTTATTTATTTATTTATTTATTTTGACTAGGAACACCAACTACACAAGCCCCAGTCACTTTCATCCCAGGGGTTCAGCTGCCAGGAGGTCCTGTTACTTTTATTCCCAGTGTACAGACACCTGTGACACCAGCACCCACAGGTAAATATCAGTACCACTTTATATACAGTGTATGATGTCACTGATATAGTAGAACATGTCTGTTTTATCTCAGTGTATAAAACAAACATCTCTCTTTGCACATGTAAGTTTTTTTAAGTGTAGTTGCATTTTATGTATGTAATCAAGTTGTCACTTTGAACTCCCATTAGGGACCTGAAGCACTATGCTAGTGACACATTATGAATTTCCACATTAAATTGAACATATTAGTATACCATGTGTATCCACCATTGGCCTCACACAGAGCAGTATACCAACAGCCCATGGACATGATCATGTCATTGTGACCTGGGGTATGTTGTTCTATTTCTCCTGGACTGACACAAGCAGTTAGTGAATGTTTTATGGAACTGAAACTCCTTGTCAATTACTGTGATTGGTAACATCCCTAATGTTGGACACACATGGAACTGACCTCTTTGAACTCAGAATTTGACATCCCTCTCTCTGCTCTTGATGCTATTACTCGGGCAAATAAATGCTTTGTTGTTTAGAAATATTTTGTTGTTATTGCTAGTCATACGTAATGCAGGTAAATACAAAATACTAATCACCTTTTTCTTCATTCAATTACTATATATTTTGATACAGTACATTACTAAAAAGTATTACTGATTATACTACAGTGCCTTATATGTATTTTTTTGTTCACTGCCATTGTTTACTACTTCAAGTCTGTATATTTATCAGCTTTGCTGTCTCGTTTAACTGAATTGTCATATTTCAGTCCTCAACATGGATCCCTGTTATATTTATTAGGTTAGACAACTGTCAGTACATCATATTTTTTTCCTTACACCTTGATTTGGTTGAGTTTCAGGCTTCTGTCTTTTATAAAATGATGTGACAATGTCCCTTCACAAATCCGTCCTTCTGTCTCCTTTTCCAGGTGACCCTTTCCATACAGCATGGTGGCTTGGTGAACTGACTCTACCTTTCTGCACATGTTTAATTCCTATAGAAAAATAGATAGCATCTTTTATTGGTAGTAAGAAGTCTTGAATGGGTATATATTATTTTCCAAATGACAATAACATTTATAGGTAATTTGCCATCTCCTACATGTACAGAAAAAAAAAAAACACATCACCACATCACATCACATTTGATATTTTATTTTAGACTGAATAATCTATCACGATATTGAAATGATATCTGTTTTTGGTAATGCTCACTCTAGACATTAGAAAAGTGATAAGCTTATTTCTGATTTTTACAGCTGTTAAACTTCATGTCATATATATACTGATTGATCTGTCTGCATAGGTAGTTGCTGTCATCATGGCTGTTGCTGTCCGACACAAGATGTTCATCCCATAACTGGCAAACATTTTTTTGTTTTACTTTAAATTTACTGAGTGGCTTTGTTTAGAAAGAAGCACACTGCTTTTAAAAATTGGCAAGATCAGTTTACATTAATGGTAATATTATTCTGGTTCTTTTCACGATTTTGATGACATTAGCCCCATAATAACCAAACTGAATTTTTTTTTGTTTTACTTTAAATTTACTGAGTGGTTTTGTTTGGTTAAGAGGCAGTTTGCTTTTGAAGATCAGCAGAATTATTATTTTATGTCCTTTTTTGTGATGTTCACCCCATTTATAACAGCCATATTTTTGTTTTACTTTGAATTTATTAAGTGGCTTTGTTTTGTACTGAGGCAGATCAGTGCATATTTATGATAATTATACTACCAACAATGGTGCTGTTGGTACAAATGGTTTTAGTTACGACCCATTCCGTCCGTCAGATCTGCCCGTCCACCAGGTCTGCTACCACGTCATAAGTGGAGATTTCAAAATATGCCATTGGATTTGACCTTTGACTTAATTAGTACCACCAGCGTATATGCTGGCGTTACTCATGGTGTTAGTCCTGACCCATCTTGTACGGCTCTGTTGGCTCCGCAGGGTGTCTTGGGATACAAGTCGCCGTTACCGCTTCTCCTCCTATACTGCAAGGAGCTGCATGTGTCCACATCTCTTGGATTTAGATCACATATAATCTCAACTTGAACCCCCTGGTATTTTTTGTCTCAGTCGGTGCATTGGCCTGGGCGTGGTGCTCGTTGAAATGCACCCTTGTCAAATTTTTTTGAAAATTCAATGCTAAATATCTCCCAAACCAAAGGAATATTTGGAAAATTTACTACAGAAGTCTGACCAAAAGTCATTTGTGGAAATTCCATATTTGCCCCTGGATTTGTCTTTCGACCTTCATTTCAAGGTCAAACAGGCCAAAATTTTCTAACGATGGGGATTTTCTGACAAAAAAATTTTGTTTGTACCAATTTTCAGAAACTACACAGACCTAAGCTCTCATATTATGGTGAGGGGTTACAATCAGGGACTGGTTACAATCCTTTCATCTTTGGGAGTTTGGGGTCAATCAGTACATCTTCATGGGAGAAGCGGCCATTAGATACAGAAACTGAAAACTCTAATTCTGGAACCGTAAATGCTAGAGACCTTTTGTTTTTTGCATTTGGTAGAACATGTCAAGTGCAATACTGGAGGTGGTGTCCTTTTTTTTGTTTTTGACGTGTTTTTTTCATTGCGCTATATGAAAAAATATAATGTTGCAATATTCAGTGTTAAAAATAAAATGTGAATTACTCCAAAATTAGCAGGGATACGCCCATAGTTACTATTGAACTTGAATAGGAAGTCATATACTGGTAATCGAACTGTGACCTTAAAATTTACCTTTGACCTACTTTTCATTATGAACTGCACTTTGCAAGTTTTCCGATCTTCATATCTTCAAAACTGGCAAAGATACACCCATAATTAATACCTTTTGCATTACGCGTGATTGGCCTTATTTTTCAAGTGTGTTGCATTATTTGAGCCCAATATTCTGCGTTTTTGGTATAAATTCATCAACATGATTCATGATTTACCCTTCCAAATCTACATGATTTGTGAAAACGTTTAGCATTACAGGAATTTGTTCTAGAAAGTCCCAAACCTTGTATCATGATTGTAGGGCGATCATTCACAGAGATAAATTCAACAAACTCTTCAAACAAGGCAGTTAGAAAAGTGGCAATGAGAGTAGTTCGCTAGGTTCTGGTTCTATTAGTATCACTTTAGTCTCTGTCACAGGAATCCTGACCAATGAGAATGGCTGAATAACTCGAGATCTAAGCAGACGATTCCTGTCATTCAACACACAAAATAAATTATTCTGGGAATGTTATGAATTCTTTGCATTCCTGCAAGTATAGCAATTTTCTATCTTGATGAATGGCGATAGCTTTTAATTCCTCGTGATTGGTGATTGACCTGAATGTATCTTCGTGATTGGTGATTGACCTGTTTTAATTCTTCGTGATTGGTGATTAAGGGGGAGTATTTCTTACCCTCATTGAACTTGAATAGGATGTCATATACTGCCAATCTAACTGTGATCCTGAAATTGACCTTTGACCTAATTTTCACCATGAACTGAGCTTTGCAAAACTGGTGATATTTTCACTTTTTTTCAAACTTACTGTTCTTTTTCCAGATGAGCCTTTCCATTAGACACAATCAACTTTTAAATCCAACTTTATCAAAATAATTAATGTTTAGCTATTTTAGTCTGATAAATTTATCACTTTTTAAAATTTAATTTCCATTTTTTTTTTTAAATACATTGTACATTTCTCTTCCAGGTGACCTTTTCCATACAGCGTGGCGGCTTTTTTGGTGAACTGATACTTCCTGTCTTGTCATGGCAAATTCCTATAGAAAAAACAGGCAGCAAAAGACAATAGCAAGAGCAATGGATTGTGTCATCCATGTCTACAATAGATGGTATATGGCAAGCTTTGGCACATTGTCAAATGGTGTGCTAAACCCCAATTCCAAAAACAAATTGTAAGGAGGAATCTGCATCTGGTATTGGTAGTAAGGAGAAGTCTTAAATGGGTATATATTGTTTTCCAGAGGACAATTATGGGTAATTTGTCACCTCTTACACAAACAAACTCAAATCAAAATATTTGATGTTTAATATGAAGCTAATTAGATGTTGTGAAATTGAAAAAAAAAATGTTTTTGATAATTCTCACTCTTTTCATACAAATTGTTAATAAGCTACACTTCTATTATACACAGTCAGCTGATAAGCTTAGAACAGATTTCTATTGATTTTAAGCATCATTTGTACAAATTTCACAAATATTGGACTGGGTTTGTCAAAATCCTTAATATTTAACTATTTTATGCCATGGAATTTGCAGGTCTTTTCAATGTAATTTTCAGTTTTCTCCAAATTATATGCTCTAAAAAATCTTTTCCATGAGACACAGTCAGCGTATAAGCTTATCACAGATTTTTATTGCTGTTATGCATCATCTGTCCCAATTTCACAAATATTGGACATGATTTGTGAAAATTATTCACGTTTAACTATTTTATGGCACTGCATTTGGCAGTCTTTTCAATGTCATTTTCAGTTTTCTCACATTTATTTGCTCTGAAAAATGTTTTTCATGAGACACAGTCAACTGATGAGCTCATCACAGATTTTTGTTATTGTTATGCGTCATCTGTCCAAATTTCACAAATATTGGACAAGATTTGTGAAAATTATTAACATTTAACTATTTTAAGGCACCGCATGTGCCAGTCTTTACAATGTCATTTTCAGTATTTCTCAAATTTATATGTTCTGAAAATATCCTTTTTATTAGACATAGTCAACTGTTTGGGTTAAGTTTATCAAAATTATTGTTCAACTATTTTAGTGTGGGAAATTTGTCAATTTTTAGAATTTAATTTTCAATTTTATCAAACATATTGTTCTTTTTACAGGTGACCTTTTCCATACAGCGTGATGGCTTTTTTGGTGAACTGATTCTTCCTGTCTGGTCAGGGCTAATTACTATAGAAAAAGCAAACAGCAAAAGACAACAGCAAGAGCAATGCTATGTCTCATCCATGTGTACAATAGATGGTATATGGNGTCTGATAAATTTATCACTTTTTAAAATTTAATTTCCATTTTTTTTTTAAAATACATTGTACATTTCTCTTCCAGGTGACCTTTTCCATACAGCTTGGGGGCTTTTTTGGTGAACTGATACTTCCAGTCTGGTCATGGCCAATTCCTATAGAAAAAACAGTCAGCAAAAGACAATAGCAAGAGCAATGGATTGTGTCATCCATGCCTACAGTAGATGGTAGGCAAGCTTTAGGACATTGTCAAATGGTGTGCTAAACCCCAATTCCAAAAACAAATTGTAAGGAGGAATCTGCATCTGGTATTGGTAGTAAGGAGAAGTCTTGAATGGGTATATTTTGTTTTCCAGAGGACAATTATGGGTAATTTGTCACCTCTTACACAAACAAACTCAAATCATAACATTTGCTGTTTAATATGAAGCTAATTAGATGTTGTGAAATTGAAAAAAAAAATGTTTTCGATAATTCTCAGTCTTCTCATACAAATTATCAATAAGCTACACTTCTGTTACACACAGTCAGCTGATAAGCTTATCACAGATTTTTATTATTGTAAAGTATCATTTGTCCAAATTCCACAAATAATGGACGAGATTTGTCAAAATTATTAACGTTTTACTATTTTATACCTTAGAATTTGGCAGTCTTTTCAGTGATATTTTCAGTTTTCTCAAATATATTGTCAAAAAAAAAAAAAAATCTTTTTCATTGAATCCAGTCAACTGATGAGCTTATCACAGATTTTTATTGATCTAAGGAATTATTTGTACAAATTTCACAAAAATTGGACTAGATTTGTGAAAATTATTAACGTTTAACTATTTTAATCCATGGAATTTGGCAGTCTTTTGAATGTCATTTTCAGTTTTGTTAAATTTATATGCTCTGAAAAAACTTTTTCATTGGACATTGTCAACTGTTGTGCTTTTTACAGATTTTTATTGATGTTAAGCATGATGTATACAAATTTCACAAATATTGGACAAGATTTGTCAAAATTGTTAATATTTAACTATTTTATGCCATGGAATTTGCCAGTCTTTTTAATGTAATTTTTAGTTTTCTCCAAATTATATGCTCTGAAAAAACCTTTTCCATGAGACACAATCAACTGATGAGCTTATCACTGATTTTTATTGCTGTTATGCATCATCTGTCCAAATTTCACAAATATTGGACAAGACTTGTGAAAATTATTAACGTTTAACTATTTAAAGCCATGGAATTTGGCACTCTTTTCAATGTAATTTTCAGTTTTCTCCAATTCATATGCTCTGAAAAATCTTTTTCATGAGACACAGTCAACTGATGAGCTATCACAGATTTTTATTGCTGTTATGCATGACTTGTACAAATTTCACAAACATTGGACGAGATTTGTTAAAATTATTAATGTTTAACTATTTTAAGCCATGGAATTTGGAAGTCTTATTATGTAATTTTCAGTTTTCTCAAATTTATATGTACCGAAAATATCCTTTTATTAGACAGTCAACTGTTAAGGTTAACTTTATAAAAATTCTTAATGTTTAACTATTTCAGTCTGTGAAATTTGTCAATTTTTAAAATTTTCACTTTTTTCAAATATATTGTTCTTTTTCCAGGTGACCTTTTCCATACAGCGTGGTGGCTTTTTTGGTGAACTGATTCTTCCTGTCTAGTCATGGCTAATTCCTATAGTAAAAAACAGGCAGCAAAAGACAACAGCAAGAGCAATGCTATGTCTCATGATGGTATGTGGGAAGCTTTAGGACATTGTCAAATGGTGTGCTAAACTCCAATTCCAGCAACGGATGGTAAGGAGGAATCTGCATCTGGTATTAAGGAGTAAGGAGATGTCTTAAATGGGTATATATTGTTTTCCAGAGGACAATTATGGGTAATTTGTCATCTCTTACACAAACAAACTCAAATCATAATATTTGATGTTTAATATGAAGCTAATTAGATGTTGTGAAATTGAAAAAAGAAATGTTTTTGATAATTCTCACTCTTCGCATACAATATGTCAAACAACTACAATTCTATTACACACTGTCAACAGTTAAGCTTATCACAGATTTTTGTTATTGTTAATCATCATCTTGATGAGCTTATCACAGATTTTTATTGTTGTTATGCATCATCTATTCAAATTTCACAAATATTAGACAAGATTTATGAAAATTATTAACATTTAACTATTTTAAGCCATGGAATTTGGCAGTTGTTTCAGTGTTATTGTCAGTTTTCTCAAATTTATTGTCCAAAAAAAAATCTATTTCATGAGACACAGTCAACTGATGAGCTTATCACAGATTTTTATTGTTGTTATGCATCATCTATCCAAATTTCACAAATATTGGACAAGATTTGTTAAAAATATTAACGTTTAACTATTTTATACCGTGGAATTTGCAGTCTTTTCAGTCTTATTTTCAGTTTTCTCACATTTATATGCTCTGAAAAATGTTTTTCATGAGACACAGTCAACTGATGAGCTTATTACAGATTTTTATTATTGTTAAGCATCATCTCTCCAATTTCAACAATTATTGGACAAGATTTGTGAAAAATATTAACGTTTAACTATTTTATACCATGGAATTTGGCAGTCTTTTCAGTGTCATTTTCAATTTTCTCACATTTATATGCTTTGAAAAATGTTTTTGATGAGACACAGTCAACTGATGAGCTTATCGCAGATTTTTATTGTTGTTATGTATCATCTGTCCAAATTTCACAAATATTAGACAAGAGTTGTGAAAATTATTAACGTTTAACTATTTTAAGCCATGCNACTTTTGAAACTTTATTACACAATACACGATAACAAGTTTACCATCATTTTTACGAAATCAACTAACAATGTTATAAAGATGCAGGAAATGTCAAACAAAAAGTTTTACGTATCTTATTAGTTTAATAATGAGACTGTTAACATGCCTAAGAATTGAATCTGAGGAAATGTGAAAAATATGCTGAAAAGTGAAAAAACAGCATAACTTCTACAATAATGACCCGATCATGCTGATTTTCGAACTTGACCTGCCTTTTATGAATATTCACCAGCTTTGTAAATATAAAGCCAAAAAGTAAAACTGCCCTCCACTTATCGTGTTTACAAGGAAAGTGCACGGCATCGGCATCGCCATCGCCATCGGCATTGGCATCGGCGACGACAGACGCAGGTGATGGCAATATGTACAGACACATCTGTGTCTGAACATAAAAATACAATGTTGCAATATTCAGTGGTGAAAATTAAATGTGAATTATTCCAAAATTAGCAGAGATATGCCCATAGTTACTATTGAACTAAGGAAGTCATATACTGGTAATCTAACTGTGACCTTAAAATTGACCTTTGACCTACTTTTCATTATGAACTGCACTTTGCAAGTTTTCCAATCTTCATGTCTCCAAAACTGTCAAAGATACACCCATAATTAATACCTTTTGCGTTACACATGACTGGCCTTATTTTTCGAGTGTGGTACATTATTGGAGCGCAATATTTTGCGTGAAACGTGATTCAGGAACTTCTTTGTTCCGCGTTATTAATTGGTAGGAATTCATCAACGTGATTCGTAAAAATGTTTAATTAGCATTAGAGGAATTTGTTCTAGAAAGTCCCAAACTTTGTATCATGATTGTAGGGCAATCATTCACTGGAGATAAATTCAACAAAATCTTCAAACAAGGCAGGTAGAAAAGGGGAAATGTGAGTAGTTTGCTACTTTCCTGTTCTATTCATATATCATCGCCTTTGTCTCTGTTACGGGAATCCTGACCAATAAGAATGGCTGAATATCTCTAAACAGACGATTCATGTCATTCCACATACGAAATTAATTATTCTGGGAATGTTATGAATTCTTTGCATTCCTGCAAGTATAGCAATTTTCTATCTTGATGAATGGCGATAGCTTTTAATTCCTCGTGATTGGTGATTGACCTGTTTTAATTCTTCGTGATTAGTGATTAAGGGGGAGTATTTCTTACCCTCATTCAACTTGAATAAGATGTCATATACTGCCAATCTAACTGTGATCCTGAAATTGACCTTTGACCTAATTTTCACAATGAACTGAGCTTTGCAAATTTTCTATTCCTTATATCTCGAAAACTGGCGATATTTTCACTTTTTTTCAAACTTACTGTTCTCTTTCCAGATGAGCCTTTCCATTAGACACAATCCACTTTTAAATCCAACTTTATCAAAATTATTAATGTTTAGCTATTTTAGTCTGATAAATTTATCACTTTTTAAATTTTAATTTCCATTTTTTTTTTAAATACATTATACATTTCTCTTCCAGGTGACCTTTTCCATACAGTGTGGGGGCTTTTTTGGTGAACTTATTCTTCCTGTCTGGTCATGGCTAATTCCTATAGAAAAAACAGACAGCAAAAGACAACAGCAAGAGCAATGCTATGTCTCATCCATGTGTACAATAGATGGTAGGCAAGCTTACGGACATTGTCAAATGGTGTGCTAAACCCCAATTCCAAACACAAATTGTAAGGAGGAATCTGCATCTACTATTGGTAGTAAGGAGATGTCTTGAATGGGTATATATTCTTTTCCAGAGGAAAATTATGGGTAATTTGTCACCTCTTACACAAACAAACTCAAATCATAATATTTGATGTTTAATGTGAGTCTAATTAGATGTTGTGAAATTGAAAAAAAAAAATTTTTAGATAATTCTCACTCTTCGCATACAATATGTCAAACAACTACAATTCTATCACACACTGTCAACTGTTAAGCTTATCACAGATTTTTGTTATTGTTAAGCATCATCTCTCCAAATTTCACAAATATTGAACAAGTTTTGTGAAAATTATTAACATTTAACTATTTTAAGGCACCGCATTTTGTAGTCTTTTCAGTTTCATTTTCAATTTTCTCAATTTTATTGTCCAAAAAAAAAATCTTTTTAATGAGACACAGTCAACTGATGAGCTTATCACAGATTTATATTGTTGTTATGCATCATCTATCCAAATTTCACAAATATTAGACAAGATTTGTGAAAAATCTTTTTGAGACACAGTCAACTGATGAGCTTATCACAGATTTTTATTGTTGTTATGCATCATCTTTCCAAATTTCACAAACATTAGACAAGATTTGTGAAAATTATTAACGTTTAACTATTTTAAGCCATTGAATTTGGCATTCGTTTCAGTGTTATTTTCAGTTTTCTCAAATTTATTGTCCAAAAAAATCTTATTCATGAGACACAGTCAACTGATGAGCTTATCACAGATTTTTATTGTTGTTATGCATCATCTATCCAAATTTCACAAATATTAGACTATATTTGTGAAAATTATTAACGTTTAACTATTTTAAGCCATAGAATTTTNTACAAAATGTCAAACAACTACAATTCTATCACACACTGTCAACTGTTAAGCTTATCACAGATTTTTGTTATTGTTTAGCATCATCTCTCCAAATTTCACGAAAGTTAGACAAGATTTGTGAAAAATATTAACGTTTAACTATTTTAAGCCATGGAATTTGGCAGTCTTCTCAATGTCATTTTCAGTTTTCTCACTTTTATATGCTCTGAAAAATGTTTTTCATGAGACACAGTCAACTGATGAGCTTATCACAGATTTTTATTATTGTTATGCATCATCTTTCCAAATTTCACAAATATTTAAAAAAAATGAAAAAAAAAATGAAATTGAAAAAAAAATATTGTAGATAATTCTCACTCTTTCCATACAAAATGTCAAACAACTATAATTCTATCACACACTGTCAACTGTTAAGCTTATCACAGATTTTTGTTATTGTTAAGCATCATCTCTCCAAATTTCACAAATGTTAGACAAGATTTGTGAAAAATATTAAAGTTTTACTATTTGAAGCCATGGAATTTTGCAGTCTTTTCAATGTCATTTTCAGTTTTTATATGCTCTGAAAAATGTTTTTCATGAGACACAGTCAACTGATGAGCTTATCACAGATTTTTATTATTGTTATCCATCATCTGTCCAAATTTCACAAATATTAGACAAGATTTGTGAAAATTATTAACGTTTAACTATTTTAAGGCACCGCATTTTGCAGTCTTTTCAATGTCATTTTCAGTTTTCTCACATTTATATGCTTTGAAAAATGTTTTTCATGAGACACAGTCAACTGATGAGCTTATCACAGATTTTTTTTGTTGTTATGCATCATCTCTCCAAATTTCACAAATATTGGACAAGATTTGTGAAAATTATTAACATTTAACTATCTTAAGGCACCGCATTTGGCAGTCTTTTCAATGTTATTTTCAGTTTTTCTCAAATTTATATGTTCTGAAAATATCCTTTTTATTACACACAGTCATCTGTTTAGGTTAAGTTTATCAAAATTATTGGTCAACTATTTTAGTGTGGGACATTTGACAATTTTTAGAATTTAATTTTCACTTTTTACAATTATATTGTTCTTTTTTCAGGTGACCTTTTCCATACAGCGGGATGGCTTTTTTGGTGAACTGATTCTTCCTGTCTGGTCAGGGCTAATTCCTATAGAAAAAACAGACAGCAAAAGACAACATATAATTCTCACCCTTCACATACAAAATACCAAACAACTACAATTTTATTACACACTGTCAACTGTTAAGCTTATCATAGATTTTTGTTATTGTTAAGCATCAAATTCCACAAATATTGGACAAGACTTGTCAAAATTTTGAACGTTTAACTATTTTAGACCATGGAATTTGGCAGTCTTTTCAATGTAATTTTTAGTTTTCTCCAATTAATATGATCTTAAAAATCTTTTTCATTAGACACAGTCAACTGATGAGTTTTTCAGAGATTTTTATTGATTTTAAGCATCATTTGTACAAATTTCAAAAATATTGGACTAGATTTTTCAAAACTATTAACATTTAACTATTTTATTCCATGAAAATTGCCAGTCTTTTTAATGTAATATTCATTTTTCTCAATTATATTGTCTGAAAAAATCTTCTTCATTGGACCCAGTCAACTGATGAGGTTATTATTGTTGTAATGCATCATTTGTACAAATTTCACAAAGATTGGACCAGATTTGTCAAAATTATTAATGTTTAACTATTTTAAGTCATGGAATTTGGCAGTCTTTTCAATGTCATTTTCAGTTTTCTCAAAAATATATGTTCTGAAAAAATCTTTTTCATTTGACATTGTCAACTGTGCTTTTCACAGATTTTTTAGATGTTAAGCATGATTTGTACAAATTTCACAAATATTGGAGTAGATTTGCCAACATTATTAATGTTTAACTATTTTAAGTTATCGAATTTGGCATTTTTATGTACAGACACAGATGTGTCTGTACATATTGCCATCACCTGCGTCTGTCGTCGCCGATGGCGATGCCGATGCCGATGCCGGCGCCGTGCACTTTCCTTGTAAACACGACAAGTGGAGGGCAGTTTTACTTTTTGGCTTTATATTTACATAGCTGATGAANGTTTAACATACTAGTAATGTACTTTTGCATCAGAATTGACAGTAGCCTATTTTGTGCATAGTTATTTCCTGCTTTTTGTCTGTACATTTGACAGCTTTGCTGCCTTGTTTGTAGAACTTGTCAAATGAAATACTGGAGGTGGTGTCCTTTTTTTTTTGTTTTCGACATGGTTTTTTCATTGCACTATATAAAAAAATACAATGTTGCAATATTCAGTGGTGAAAATGAAATGTGAATTATTCCAAAATTAGCAGAGATACTAGTATGCCCATAGTTACTATTGAACTAAGGAAGTCATATACTGGTAATCTAACTGTGACCTTAAAATTGACCTTTGACCTACTTTTCATTATGAACTGCACTTTGCAAGTTTTCCAATCTTCATGTCTCCAAAACTGTCAAAGATACACCCATAATTAATACCTTTTGCGTTACACTTGACTGGCCTTATTTTTCGAGCGTAGTACATTATTGGAGCGCAATATTCTGCGTGAAACGTGATTCAGGAACTTCTTTGTTCCGCGTTATTAATTGGTATGAATTCATCAACGTGATTCGTAAAAATGTTTAATTAGCATTAGAGGAATTTGTTCTAGAAAGTCCCAAACTTTGTATCATGATTGTAGGGCAATCATTCACTGGAGATAAATTCAACAAACTCTTCAAACAAGGCAGGTAGAAAAGTGGAAATGTGAGTAGTTTGCTACTTTCCTGTTCTATTCGTATATCATCGCCTTAGTCTCTGTTACGGGAATCCTGACCAATAAGAATGGCTGAATATCTCTAAACAGACGATTCATGTCATTCAACATATGAAATTAATTATTCTGGGAATGTTATGAATTCTTTGCATTCCTGCAAGTATAGCAATTTTCTATCTTGATGAATGGCGATAGCTTTTAATTCCTCGTGATTGGTGATTGACCTGAATATATCTTCTTGATTGGTGATTGACCTGTTTTAATTCTTCGTGATTGGTGATTAAGGGGGAGTATTTCTTACCCTCATTGAACTTGAATAGGATGTCATATACTGCCAATCTAACTGTGATCCTGAAATTGACCTTTGAACTTATTTTCACCATGAACTGAGCTTTGCAAATTTTATATCCCTTATATCTCGAAAACTGGCTATATTTTCACTTTTTTTCAAACTTCCTGTTCTTTTTCCAGATGAGCCTTTCCATTAGACACAATCCACTTTTAAATCCAACTTTATCAAAATTATTAATGTTTACCTATTTTAGTCTGATAAATTTATCACTTTTTAAAATTTAATTTCCATTTTTTTTTTTTTAATTACATTGTACATTTCTCTTCCAGGTGACCTTTTCCATACAGTGTGGGGGCTTTTTTGGTGAACTGATTCTTCCTGTCTGGTCATGGCTAATTCCTATAGAAAAAACAGACAGCAAAAGACAACAGCAAGATCGAGCAATGCTATGTCTCATCCATGTGTACAATAGATGGTAGGCAAGCTTTAGGACATTGTCAAATGTCAAACAACTACAATTCTGTCACACACTGTCAACTGTTAAACTTATCACAGATTTTTGTTATTGTTAAGCATCATCTGTCCAAATTCACAAATATTGAACAAGTTTTGTGAAAATTATTAACGTTTAACTATTTTAAGGCACCGCATTTGGCAGTCTTTTCAATGTCATTTTCAATTTTCTCAAATTTATTGTCCAAAAAAATCTTTTTAATGAGACACAGTCAACTGATGAGCTTATCACAGATTTTTATTGTTGTTATGCATCATCTATCCAAATTTCACAAATATTAGACAAGATTTATGAAAATTATTAACGATTAACTATTTTAAGCCATGGAATTTTGCAGTCTTTGCAATGTCATTTTCAGTTTTCTCACATTTATTTGCTCTGAAAAATGTTTTTCATGAGACACAGTCAACTAATGAGCTTATCACAGATTTTTATTATTGTTATGCATCATCTGTCCAAATTTCACAAATATTGGACAAGATTTGTGAAAATCACTAACATTTAACTATTTTAAGGCACCGCATTTGGCAGTCTTTTCAATGTCATTTTCAGTATTTCTCAAATTTATATGTTCTGAAAATATCCTTGTTATAAGACATAGTCAACTGTTTAGGTTAAGTTTATCAGAATTATTGTTCAACTATTTAAGTGTGGGAAATTTGTCAATTTTTAGAATTTAACTTTCACTTTTATCAAACATATTGTTCTTTTTCCAGGTGACCTTTTCCATACAGCGTGATGGCTTTTTTGGTGAACTGATTCTTCCTTTCTGGTCAGGGCTAATTCCTATAGAAAAAACAGACAGCAAAAGACAACAGCAAGAGCAATGCTTTGTCTCATCCATGTGTACAATAGATGGTATATGGCAAGCTTAGGACATTGTCAAATGGTGTGCTAAACCTCAATTCCAGAAACCGATTGTAAGGAGGAATCTGCATCTGGTATTGGTAGTAAGGAGATGCCTTAAATGGGTATATATCNCTAATCACAGATTTTTATTGTTGTTATGCATCATCTATAAAAATTTCACAAATATTAGACAAGATTTGTGAAAAGTATTAACGTTTAGCTATTTTATACCATAGAATTTGGCAGTCTTTTCAGTGCCATTTTCAGTTTTCTCACATTTATTTGCTCTGATAAATGTTTTTCATGGGTCACAGTCAACTGATGAGCTTATCACAGATTTATATTATTGTTATGCATCATCTGTCCAAATTTCACAAATATTGAACAAGTTTTGTGAAAATTATTAACGTTTAACTATTTTAAGGCACCGCATTTTGCAGTCTTTTCAATGTCATTTTCAGTTTTCTCACATTTATATGCTCTGAAAAATCTTTTAAATGAGACACAGTCAACTGATGAGCTTATCACAGATTTTTATTATTGTTATGCATCATCTGTGCAAATTTTAAAAATATTAGACAAGATTTGTAAAAATTATTAACATTTAACTATTTTAAGGCACTGCATTTTGCAGTCTTTTCAATGTCATTTTCAGTTTTCTCAATTTTATTGTCCAAAAAAATATTTTTTATGAGACACTGTCAACTGATCAGCTTATCACAGATTTTTATTATTGTTATGCATCATCTTTCCAAGTTTCACAAATATTAGACAAGATTTGTCAAAATTATTAACGTTTAACTATTTTAAGCCATGGAATTTGGCAATCTTTTCAATGTCATTTTCATTTTTCTCAAATTTATATGCTTTGAAAAATGTTTTTCATGAGACACAGTCAACTGATGAGCTCATCACAGATTTTTATTATTGTTATGCATCATCTGTCCAAATTTCACAAATATTGGACAAGATTTGTGAAAATTATTAACATTTAACTATTTTAAGGCACCGCATTTGGCAGTCTTTTCAATGTCAATTTCAGTTTTTCTCAAATTTATATGTTCTGAAAATATCCTTTTTATTAAGCACAGTCAACTGTTTAGGTTAAGTTTATCAAAATTATTGTGTAACTATTTTAGTGTGGGAAATTTGTCAATTTTTAGAATTTAATTTTCACTTTTATCAAACATATTGTTCTTTTTCCAGGTGACCTTTTCCATACAGCGTGATGGCTTTTTTGGTGAACTGATTTTTCTTGTCTGGTCAGGGCTAATTACTATAGAAAAAACAGACAGCAAAAGACAACAGGAAGAGCAATGCTCTGTCTCATCCATGTGTACAATAGATGGTATATGGCAAGCTTTAGGACATTGTCAAATGGTGTGCTAAACCCGATTCCAGAAACCAATTGTGAGGAAGAATCTGCATCTGGTATTGGTAGTAAGGGGAAGTCTTGAATGGGTATATATTGTTTTCCAGAGGTAATGTGTCACCTCTAACACAAACAAACTCAAACCATAACATTTAATGTTCAAGATGCATACAAAGTCAATTTTTTCTCACAAATACCAACCAACACCAGCATATAGTTTCAAGAAGTATAACTAGGAGAATTACCAAAAGGCATTGTTTAATTTTACCTGAAAATGATGTTTGAACAGATTTTTTTGCTAGCATTCTATGCTGTATGTCAATGGGGCAGAAAAGTAGGTCACGAAAGTTAAATTTACAACCAAAAATTTAAAGAAAGTAGCAGTCTAAAGCTATTTTATGACTGATTGAGTGATCTATTCAGTTTATCCCTTGGCATGTCCAATTTATTGAAGTAGAAGTGGTTTACATGTGTTACTGAGAATCCACGCTCCACGTTGCTCGGTTCGTATATACCTGTATATGTCAGACTGAATTATATTTTGTAAAATTGAAAATTTTGTTTTCGGTAATTCTCACTCTTCTCATACAAATTGCCAATAAACAACACTTTAGTTACACAAGGGCAACTGATAAGCTTATTACAGATTTATATTATTGTAAGACATAATTTGTCCAAATTTAACAAATATTGGACAAGATTTGTGAAAATTATTAACATTTAATATTTTATGTCATGGAATTTGGCGTTTTTTTCAATGTAATTTTCAGTTTTCTCAAATTTCTTGTCCAAAAAAATATTTTTCACGAGACGCAGTCAACTGTTGAGCTTATCACAGATTTTTATTGTTGTTATGCATCATCTGTCCAAATTTGACAAATATTGGACTAAAAATACAAAATTATTAACGTTTAACTATTTTAAGGCAGGGCATTTGGCAGTCTTTTCAATGTCATTTTCAGTTTTCTCACATTTATATGCTCTGAAAAATCTTTTCTATGAAACACATTCAACTAATGAGCTTATCACAGATTTTTATGTACAGACACAGATGTGTCTGTACATATTGCCATCACCTGCGTCTGTCGTCGCCGATCATGTCGCCGTCGCCGTGCNTCTAAAACAATGGCCCGATTATACTAATTTTCAAACTCAACCTGCATTTTAGTAAGATTGACCACTCCTGTGAGTTTAATGACAATTGGCCTATCTGTTTTTCTTATATTGTGTTTACAGTGTTGCATATATGCTAAAAAGTGAAAAAACAGCATAACTACTAAAATAGTGGCCCGATCATGCCGATTTTCGAACTTGACCTGCGTTTTAGTAAGATTGATTACTCCTGTGAGTTTCATGACAACAGGCCTATCGGTTTTCCTTAAAATGTGTTAACAGGGTTGCATATATGCTGAAAAGTGAAAAAACAGCAAAAATTCTACAATAATGGCCCGATCATGCTGATTTTCGAACTTGACCTGCGTTTTATGAATATTCATCAGCTCTGTAAATATAAAGCCAAAAAGTAAAACTGCCCTCCACTTATCGTGTTAACAAGGAAATTGCACGGCGCCGGCATCAGCATCGGCGACGGCGACGACGGCGACGACAGACGCAGGTGATGGCAATATGAACAGACACATCTGTGTCTGTACATAAAAACAGACAGCGAAAGAACAATGCTATGTCTCATCCATGTGTACAGTAGATGGCATACGGCAAGCTTTAGGACATTGTCAAATGGTGTGCTAAACCCTATTCCAGAAACCGATTGTAAGGAGGAATCTGCATCTGGTATTGGTAGTAAGGAGATGTCTTAAATGGGTATATATTCTTTTCCAGAGGACAATTATGGTTAATTTGTCACCTCTTACACAAACAATCTCAAATCATAATATTTAATGTTTAATGTGAGTCTAATTAGATGTTGTGAAATATTGTAGATAATTCTCACTCTTCGCATACAAAATGTCAAACAACTACAATTCTATCACATACTGTCAACTGTTAAGCTTATCACAGATTTTGTTGTTGTTAAGCATCATCTCTCCAAATTTCACAAATATTGAACAAGTTTTGTGAAAATTATTAACGTTTAACTATTTTAAGGCACCGCATTTTGCAGTCTTTTCAGTGTCATTTTCAATTTTCTCAAATTTATTGTCCAAAAAAAAATATTTTTACTGAGACACAGTCAACTGATGAGCTTATCACAGATTTTTTTTTGTTGTTATGCATCATCTATCCAAATTTCACAAATATTAGACAAGATTTGTGAAAATTATTAACGTTTAACTATTTAAGCCATGGAATTTGGCAGTCTTTTCAATGTAATTTTCAGTTTTCTCCAATTAATATGATCTTAAAAATCTTTTTAATTAGACACAGTCAACTGAGTTTTTCAGAGATTTTTATTGATTTTATGCATCATTTGTACAAATTTAAAAAATATTGGACTAGATTAGTCAAAACTATTAACATTTAACTATTTTATACCATGAAAATTGCCAGTCTTTTTAATGTAATATTCATTTTCTCAATTATATTGTCTGAAAAAATCTTCTTCATTGGACTCAGTCAACTGATGAAGTTATTATTATTGTTGTTATGCATCATTTTTACAAATTTCACAAAGATTGGACAAGATATGTCAAAATTATTAATGTTTAACTATTTTAAGTCATGGAATTTGGCAGTCTTTTCAATGTCATTTTCAGTTTTCTCAAAAATATATGTTCTGAAAAAATCTTTTTCATTTGACATTGTCAACTGATGTGCTTTTCACAGATTTTTTAGATGTTAAAGGGATAATAACTCTTCGTATGAGATCTATATTTCACAATAAAAACATTGTGAATAACTCATAGAAATATAATATATTCTGTTATACCACAAAAACGGCAGTTATAGCTATTTTTCTGATATCTGAGCTTGTCTTTAGACCACGTGACCTCCATTGATGGCTATACTCTGTTAAAATCTCTTAAGAGATTTTAACAAAAAACCAAACTTTTTAGAAAAAAAACAGGGACTAACTTTGAATGTAAAAATGGATTCATTAACCATTGGTAAGTTTGGGAAAATTGTTGTTTACTCCAGGAAAATTCATTTTTTGGTCGAAACGAAGAGTTATTATCCCTTTAAGCATGATTTGTACAAATTTCACAAATATTGGAGTAGATTTGCCAATATTATTAATGTTTAACTATTTTAAGTTATCGAATTTGGCATTTTTTTTAATGTTATTTTCAGCTTCTCAAATATATTGACTGAAAATATCCTTTTCATTAAACACAGTCGTCTATTAAGCTAAACTTTATCAAAAGTATTTATGTTTAACTATTTTAATCTGGGAAATTTATCACTTTTAAACATTTAATTTACACTTTTTTCAAATATATTTTGTCAAATGGTGTGCTAAACCCCGATTCCAGAAACTGATTGTAAGGAGGAATCTGCACCTGGTATTGGTAGTAAGAAGTCTTGAATGGGTATATGTTGTTTTCTAGGTCACATTTCTGGACAATTTGTCACCTCTTCACAAGCAAACAAATTATCACATTTGATGTTTCTTTGGAGACTGAATGATATATTGAATGATATATTGGCTTATTAAAATATTTGTTTTCAATAATTCTCACTCTTCTCATACAAATTGCCAATAAGCTACACTTCTGTTACACACAATCAACTGATAAGCTTATCACAGATATCTGCAGTTGTTAAATGTCATTTTTTCAAAATTAAAAAGAAATAAAATATAACTGACAAAATTGTAAATATTTAATTATATTCATGATGGTAATTTTGGTACATTTAAAGTCTTATTGCACATTGTGCTCTGCCACCACGTCATTGTTACTGCTTCTTCTCTTAAACTATAAGAGCCCGTGTATCGATCTCTTGTATGTAGGTCAGATATAATCTCAACTTGCTCCATGGGAATTTTGGGCTTTGTCGGTGCTGGGGTGTAGGTGTGGTGTTCGTCACATTGCACCCTTGTCCAAAATTTGCAAAATGAAATGCAGAATATCTCCCAAACTGAAGGCATTGCAGGAAAAGTTTCTATGGATGACTGAAAGTGGTATGTGGGATTTAAAATATGCCCATTTAAGGTCAAATGGGCCAAAATTTTCTTAAAATGTTTTTATTTTTTTGCTTGGGTCATCTTTCATGTTCATGAGTTTGGGGTCAGTTGGTGCATTTTTATGGGAGAAGCGGCCATTAGATTTCTTGACTGAAAACTCTAATCCTGGAACCATAAATGCTAGAAACCTCTTGTTTAGTGCATTTTATAGAACTTGTCAAGCACAACACTAGGGATGGTGTCTGTTTTTTTGTTTTCCATATGGTATACGAGTTGCGCCATATCAGAAAGTACATTGTCCTAATATTTATTGGAGAAAATAAAATGTGAAATAATTCCAAAATTAGCAGAGATACCCCCATAGTTACTATAGACCTTCAATATGAAGACATATACTGGCAATCTGTCTCCTTGAGATTGATTTTTGTCCCTTATATCTCCAAAACTGCCAGATATATGCCCAAAGATACTATTAAACTTGAACAGGAAGTAATATACTGGTAATATGTGACCTTGAAATTGACCTTTGACCTAATTTTCAATTTGAACTGAACTTTGCAACTCTCTGTCCCTTATATCTCCAAAACTGCCAGAGATAGAACTGAACTTTGCAACTCTCTGTCCCTTATATCTCCAAAACTGCCAGAGATATGCCCAGTTACTATAAAACTTGAATAGGAAGCCACATACTGACAATCTAACTGTTACCTTGAAATTGACCTTTGACCTCATTTTCAATTTGAACTGAACTTTGCAACTTTTTTGTCCCTTATATCTCCAAAACTGCCAGATATACACCCAAAGTTACTATTAAACTTGAAGAGGAAGTAATATACTGG